CTTTGATGCATTTTTCAAATTTCGCCTTGGGGCGGTGTTATCTTTTCACAGGGGGGTAAGTTACACTTTAATGGCTCATTATAATCACCATGGTAAACATGATGAGTGCTTTAACTCTCACTTGTGTATTTTTGGCAGCACTCACAGTTTCTCTCCATTGTTTCCACACTGTTTCTGAAAGCATGCTTCATGTTCTCAGAACTCTACACACAAATCTAAAATCACACACAATAATGATCGGAACCCGTCATTTCTCCTGCAAAATGAAACTTTACATTCAGCACAATGTCGTTTCTTCTCAGAATTAGGGGTGGGAATCTTTTACTTTCTCACGATTCGATTCTGATCTTTGAGGCCACGATTTGATTCAGAAATGATTTTTCAATGAAAACTGATAATGTGAGCCCATTCATCATGTTCCCAAAGTGTTTCATCTTCATTTTGCAAACCTTACACACAGTGAAGCTCGTACCAAACTCAGACTGATTTAGTAAAAACAAAAATGAGCCCAAATCTTTGCATTCATTGAATACAAAGCCGGTTGAATTTCTCTTTCCTCCAGTTTTGTAGTTTCCTCGTTGTTTTGGTGTTTTCTGTGCAGCTGCCAAGTGACATCAGAACATCCCACGTAGTTACAACATGGAGGCTGACCACCATTGGATTTGCTTTATTTATTTAATTTTTAAAAATCGATTTTGTGACATTTTAAATCGATTCTCAATCTTTGTAAAAGTTAATCACGATTCTGATGTGAATGGGTTTTTTGGTGCAGCCCTACTCAGAATGGTATTTTGTTTCCAGATCAAACTCAAACACCTGGGGCCTCTAAGTTCCACCAAACTCATAGTTCCTCTGTGTTTACAGTCATTAATTAAAGATGTGTAAAGGTGGAAATGTCTCTCAGCCTCGTGTTGCTGCAGCACACGCACGTACACACACCAACACCCACACACCTTTGTGAGTGGCAAACACATTTTTACAGCCCACTACTGATTTAAACAGTTTTCTCTCTCATTCTCCATTTAATGTATAATTTTCCTGCATCTAAAAACCATTTCTGATCCCACAGAGAGGACAATCTGAGGAGAATCTCACACGCTGGACACATTTACATCTATTTTACAGATTTAAATGGAGGTGTGTCATATACAGTATATACAGTATATTAGAGGTGCAACAATCCATGTATCTTTATTGAACCATTCAAACAGTGCTTAAGGTTCAGTACACACCATGTATGGAACAATACAGATTTATAAAATTTATTTTATCAACTTGTCTTCAGATGAAGATTTTTTTACAAARCAAAAACATTGACATCAAATATTTTCATCTGTCACATCTTACCTAAATCAGATAAACCATCCAGTTAACAGGTTCATTAGCAGGAAATCAAGAAATAATTTATTAATGGAAGCAAAGAAACTGAAGGGAACTAAAGTTTGCATTAAAGAACATCTAACTAAATGAATGGAAATAGCACTTTCAGTTAAAAACAGGTAGGTAAAAATAATAAAAGTCTTCAGTTTGTGGCAGTTGGGTAGAAGCTGTCCTGGAACCTGACTACTCTACATGCCAGGCTGTGTTCTGCCTGATGATAGCAGAGACAACAGTACATGRCAGGTGAGCTGGCTCTGATGATTCCGGTTGCATTGACAGGCAGCGTTGTTTTGCCAAGTCCCCAATAGGTGTCAGCATGAACCCAATAATTTCCCAGCTGCCTTCACTGCTCTCCCCAGTGCCTTCCTGTCTGAGGCCCTGCTGCTCTGGTGCCACACAGAGATGCTGCTGGTAAGCACACTGTAATGGTGCCTCTAGAGAAGGTAGAGGACTGATGRACTGAAGTGTGCTCTCTTTAGCCTGAGCAGAAAGTGCAGCCACTGTTGATCCTTTTTGACAGTGAAGTTGGTGTGCATTGACCAAGAGAGTGTCAGCGAAGTGGATCCCCAGGAGCTTGATGTGTGGGACGATCTCCACAACAGTTGGAAGTTGAGCAGTGTGTGAGCTGGCTGTTTCCTCCTGAAGATGATCAGTGGTTCTTTGGTTTCCCCCATTCAGAAGAAGGTTGTTGTTGCTGCACCATTCCACAAGAAGTTTCACCTCCTCTCTGTAGTAATTCTTAGTGTTGTATAAAGTACCACAAAGTAATACTTGAGTAAAAGTACAAGTATCTTACCCAAAAAATGACTTTTGGTAAAAGTTAAAGTCTCCTTTAGGAATATTACTTGAGTAAAGGCATTAAAGTATCTGATATTTTTGTACATTGGTATTAAAAGTAGAAGTACTGATTTAAAATGAGCAGTTAGATTTTCTGTAATGACATTTATTAGGTGACCTCCCCACAAAAAACTGCAGAAATGACTGTTGTATTAAAATAATTAATTAATGTTAAATTTAGGATGCATTAGTCCAGCTGTTTCAGTTTATATACATATATCAAGGCTGCACAAAACTTTCCCCCAAAACGAAAATCTATCTGAGGGCTGCGACCAAATGCAATAAAATGATTATCCTGCTGGAGTGTGACATGATTTGTTTGTGTACAAACTAATACACTATCAGAATTTTATATATTTATACTTCTCACTCAACCACAGTTAAATTCACTCTATCTAGGAGGCACAGTTTATGTGGATAGTATTTATTTTTTACAATAACAAGCTGGAATGAAGACAAGCAAAAATGAAATAAAAGTGTCAAATTTCTACTTTTTGCCTTGTTTTTAAAAATGTAAGAAGTAGAAGTAAAAAGTAGGCTGAATAATAATTACTCAAGTAAAGTACAGATACMGAAAAATTCTCTTAAGTACAATAACAAAGTAATTGTACTTAGTTACTTTACAACTCTGATAATTCTCATCATCCTGGATGAGACCCACCACTGCTGTGTCGTCTGCATGTAATGATGTAGTTAGTATTGTGCTTGGCACAGCAGTCACTGGTCATCAAGGTGTAGGGGTCTGAGAACACAACCCTGAGTGTCTGACTTGTTGTTCCTCATCATACAAACTGAGGCCTGCCTGKTAAAAAGTCCAGTGTCCGGTTTCACAGGGGAGTGTTCAGTACCAGTTGGCTCAGTTTCTTGATCAGATACTGTGGGGTTATACTGTTGAATGCTGAGCTAAAATCCACGAACAGCATTCAGACCGATGCATTTTTATTTTCCAGGTGTTTCAAGGTCAAGAGGAGAGCAGTGGATATGGCATCTTCAGTGGAGGGGTGAGGTGAAAAAACCACGACTTCTGGTTGAAGTGGAACTGCTGTTGCTCAATSAAGAGAGGACTCTGAAAACAGGCTTGTTGAACTGCAAGAATCTTTATTTTTGCAGTCCAGGAGATTACAGCCAAAAACCAAATTGTGGCCTTCAATGTCAAATGATTCACCAAATAAGAAGATGAAGACGAAGGCCAAGAGCAGGGGCATACAAGGCTCTTTATAGGCTTTCAYAGATGTACCATAAATCTTGTCACGGTATACCTTCTTCCTAATTTGGTAATATGTGCCGAGCTCTGAAGCTGGAAACTAAGAGGCATCACATCTGTGCATTCCTGAGAAAAGGCCCCCCACTCTTGGACACTACAGGGGTTTGGGCGATATGCAAATTGAATTGGATCAAGTGAAGGAGGAAGGATGAAGGTGATGTTACCTTTGACCTGTTCTTCGAAGCACTTCACGGGTGTCAGTGCCACTGTTGTTACTGTGGGTTTTTAAAGAAACAGGGGTCGGATTTATAAAACTTGCGTACGCACAATTTGAGCCCAGAAACTTGCGTACGCCACTTTTTACGCCAAGGTTGTGATTTATAAAATACAAACTTGACGTGAAAATGTG